TTAGAATCCTGGCTAACATTGATCAAATGGACTCATGTCGACCCCATTTCATAAAACACAATTTATTAACCCTCACTTCAATTTATATACTTGAGTCATGTAAATTTGTACGTAAGAATATAGGTTTGTATTCTCCAATACCAGGAATTAAACGCAATGACAGAAATAAATACAAATTAAAAGTACCCTTTTCAAAATTGCAATTATTTACTAACAGCCCTCATTGTATGTTGATAAAAATTTATAATAAAATCCCAAATAAAATCAAAAGTAACGAAAAATACATAACGTTTATTAAACATCTAAAACAAATGTTAATTAAAAAATGCTACTACTCTATAGAGGAATTTTTTTCAGACAAATTCGAGTAGCTATTCGTATTCGTTTTAATATTATAATAAAATTTCGTTTAAAATAGAATATATTCGTTATATGATTGTAGATGCTATGCTATTACCTCGTTTGTGTATTTTAGATTACATAAGCTCTATGTTGCAATTTTATAACTATATGTCAAGAGTTAAATTTATGTTTTAATTCCATTATTATTTGAATTGTATAGGTAGAAAATAAATATAAAATTATAGTTATTACACTGTAAATATAATAATATAAATGTGGTATGTGAATGTGTGAAAGTGAGTAGGTAATATTATATTAAGTTCCTCTCTCAAATTGTTAAATCTTGCAGTGCCCTAACGGGGTCCATATGAACACATGTATTTAAGTTAAGACCTTTTCTAACATATGGTGGCAATGAATAAATGAATATGAATATGAATATGAATATTATTCGTTATTGTTACACTTTTAAAACTTTGTGACTTGTAAATTACTTGTTATCAATAAATGACTATGATTATGACTAAGGTTCTCTTGCAGTTTTAATATAGGTATAAAAGCGTAAAACGAGATTAAGAAAGTAGGTAAAAATTAAGATTAATTAAAACGACATCTCAAAATTGACACAAAAACCACTCAAACTACTCGAATACTAAATCATAATTCCGTAAGTAAATCATGTACATATTTTATACCTTGGCCTTGAATATCCAACACCTAAAAGAATCGGCGACAAATAAACATTTTAACAACGGATGAGTCACTGTTCATTTGGAGGATGTTTTGATAATGACAATAATAATAAAAATACCTCAATTTATATTTTTTGTTCGTTTGGAAGTAGTAGATTTTATGGTGAGTACTCATTTAGCGAAACGTAACCATTATTTCTTTCAATTTTGTCATTATGGGAGAAATCACAGTGCGGTCACGGGTAAGGGTAAGGATAAAATTTTAGGCCACAAGCAGTTAGAACAATAGATGGGCTTTTCATATGAAAAGGACAGTCTTAATAAATTTACGAATATTCACCTATTGTGTATGACAAATTCTTCTTTTTGGGTAAGCACCAGCACCAGCCTGTCTACGGTTGGTAAAGTATGACTAATCCTTCTTTTTAGTTAAGCAGTAGACAGGCCGATAAAGTGTGATCTAGCTTTCAGTCCATGAGAACTATCAGTCAAGTCATAACTTTGGAAATTATTTTAAAACAGGCAGACTAGGTATGACAATATTAACGATACTCTCTCAAAGGCAGTTTGTTGGTTTAAAGCTAACAATACATAGAAACAAACGGAGAAAACTTAGACTCTGTAAATAAAACTGTCTTTTTGGAAGTGACCTTAGTTTACTAAATAAGATCTTCAACTACTTCAACAACTACAACTTCAATGGTTTCCACATTTATATTTTCCTTAGACAGCAGATTAAGCTCTGCTGCATACGCAGTCTGTACAATACGTGAACTTACCGATGTTGCTACTGCTAGACTAGTTTAGTTACTTCCATAGTACGTACAATGTCCTACGGGATTCTCATGTGGGGTAAAGCGGCAGATATACAAACCATATTTATGTTGCAAAAACGAGCGATTCGTTCTGTGTACCGTTTAGGTTCTCGGGTTTCTCTCAGAGAAAAGTTTAAAGAGTTGTTGTCATGACTGTGGCACCACATTTAATCAAATATTTTGTATGCCCGTAAAAATATATACATAATTTCATTGAGAAAGAAGATATCCATAATATTTATTAACCTTAGAACTAAGTCCAAACTCATGGTAAGTACTACAATTTCGTTTAACTAAGGCAAACGGTTTTTTTATAGGGAACCGTAAATGTTTTTTACCATAAGATTCCGGAGCATATACTAAGATTATCATTTCCTAAATTTAAAACTTACATTAAAAATATTATAATTGAAAAGTCATATTACAAAATTGAAAAGGATTTGGTAGATAAAGATGTATGGAAAGGCAACATAAGTAATGAGTCATGAGATTCCACATAATTATGATTCAAAGTGTATGCCATAGCATTTAAATTTATTTAAAAAGAGCAATCCCTAGAGTTTCTTGCTCGTTCTCCTCAGGGAAGTCGGCACAGTGACCGAGCAGTAGCTTAAAAAAATGACGTTTTTAAGTGTAAAAATTTTACCTATGGAATAAATGATTATTTGAGTTTGAGTATTTTGGGAGGCAACGATATTTATGTTCTAGAAGGTTAAGTAGTCAAGCTTTACGTTAAACGTCAAGATATCTAGCAAAATTAAAAAGATAAACATCTAATCGGAAAGTTTGAAGATTAATATGCAGCGATAAAGACTGTAATAGTCAGGATTCTCAGTTTAATGATAAAAAATCACAGGGTGGCCCATTTACAGAGGTCCTTAAAAAATATTTTCAGGTGCACGTGATGTTCATTTCCGAAGTTGTTGCAATAGTTATAATATTACAATTTTTGTGTAGTCAATCACTATATCTCAAATTCTGGTAGTAAGTACTTACATTAATTTTATTTTCAGCATGTTTAAAAAATTTTCAATTTTTTCGAGCACATGTAAAAATATAAGAAAAGGTCTAAAACAACGGTGCAATATAAGAACAAATACAAAAAAACACTACCTGGTTATATTATGATATTACTTTCTGTAGTGATGTTACGAAATTTCATTTCATTTAGTGGAATAGTTTTGAAATTAGAGTTGTTTTGTGGCTAAAATAGAATATTTAATCAATCAAAAAAGTAACGTTGAGATCCTCTACATAAAACAAAAATTTGGCCCACTGTAAATGGACCACGCCGTATTAGGAATTGAGAATTAATTATTTGAGGTAATACGTACCAACGCCGATAATGATATGCAATAATACCGAAATAATTAAATATTAAATACGGCTGATATCTTCATAAGGAACACTTATCAATATTAACTGATTCAAACCAACATTATACTCGTAAATGCGAAGGTAACTGTCTGTTACATTTTCACATCTAAATCGCTGAACCCAATTTGATGAAATTTGGTATAGAGATAGATGGGATCTAGGAGTAGTACATAGGCTAATTTTTGTCAGAAAAATAAATCTTGAAAATGGTGAAATAGGGGGTAACAGTTCGTAAGGAGAACCAAACATTTCTCAAGTGCCTAGTACAGCAGGCTACTCGAAGTAGTTATTCGACGTCGATGAAGTCGCGAGCACCGGCTAGTTAAGAATAACGCTAACATAACAAATGTTATTTAAACAGACTCTGGATGCCATTCTTCCATGAGGGGTGTGATATAATCAATTGTGTGATACGAAAACTCCGATGCAAATTACAACTGCCGTGATTTAGAGTATTGTCCAATGGAGTGTTCTATTACGAGAATCACAGATAATTAGCGAGGATGAGGCCACAAGTAATTTACAAACTATTGTTTCTCTTTAACAAGATAATGTACTTATGAACTCACTATATACGTGTATCTGGCTCCATCCAACATAAGTACGATTGCCCTTTGTTGCTGTCAATCTCCAACGCCCTTCGTCTTTCTTTGCAATTGTCTTTATTCTCACACCGCAACCATCAGTCCATTTCTCATATCTAAAATTTAGTGCAACAATCAAACGTAAAACATGTAGGTACGTGAATCATGTTATAAAAAAATATTGTAATTTATTATATACTTAAACAGCTCACCAAACTATATTGAGAAAAATGAAATATTTAATTCAAAGTTAAGTAAGTAAGTGCCTATAGTTCTATTTTCTAACGTTCAAGCTACGGAATCATTTGAGTTTAACAGAAACAGAGCGAATATAATTATTATTACAATGTAAATAGGTATATTTATTATTCAGAAAATCGTCCATCTGTAAAATTTTATTTCAATATACTTAATAATTAAAATTTAATGTGAATTTTTAATGAAAATTACTACGTAAAATAATATATTAGAATGAACTAGTAGTTCTGTAAAATTCTAATACGGCGAAATTTGAACATTGGAAATAGCTCATAACTACAGCGGCTATTGTAAGACCAAAAAAAGACAAAACATTTTGTGAAAATATGAAATTGGAGAGCGCCTACTTGTTACTGGATGGCGAGTTGATACTAAATTTCTCTCCCACAGATGTAGTTAGATAGCAACTGTTGATGGGTGGTTCTAATTTCAATTGAATAAGTGCGTCTTGTCCTTCCATCAGTTGCAAAACATATGGCCACCCCATTCCATGCTGCATGTAAAGTACATCACTTACAGCTATATTTACCGTTGGGATATTTGCTTTCGTTAATTCGAAATAACTCATGGCTGAAATAGCAAAAATTAAATATAGAACTAAACGGTAAATAAAAACAAAAATGTAATTGTAATTATATTAAATTGACAACAAATAAGGCCGCAAAAATTACAAATATTAAGCTAGAAATATCTCAAAATAAATTGTACTAACCTAATAATACCAAGTACAAGGCAAACATTTTATTAAATTTTATGTTGTTTTAATGTATAGCAACAAAAAGATACTGTAAGGGAAATTAAGATTGACTATTTATAAATATTATTAGATAATCAACGACGAGTAAACTAAGAGCTTAATCATCATCGATGATAACGATTTTGCTTGCGAGACAAGATTTTGCGATATGATAATATCGCAAAATGTTGTCTCGCAAGCAGAATCTTTTATTTTGTAATAATCAATAGATTATTACAAAATAAAAGCAATTACTGATATACTACTGAAAAATATTAGTCAAATTCTATAATTGTAGAGATTAAATATGAATTGGGTCAGTGCTTGACGTTACAGTTAAGGGAGAGTTTGATAATATCGGATACTTTAGTAGGTAATTAGGTTTATAATTATTACAGTGGCGTGGTTTATGAAAACAAAATTTATTGTCATAAGTAGGAAATTTATTGGGCTATACATACAGCCATCTTCAAAAACGAATACAATGGTCAGTTGTCGGTCTGACAATATCGTGCAGAGGTGTGATGAAATCGTGGCCTTACGAATTTTTCGCAATTCGTTTATCATGACAAACGATATAAACATAAAACAAATTTTTAAGTTACCATAACTTGTATGTATTATTTATTTATTTATTCATTCATGGAAATCCAACAGCTTCTTACGTTTAATAAAAACAGGAACATAATCATAAAGCCAATTACAGGTTTCCACCTATAATTTCAAACAAATCATACACGAGCATTAAACAAACGAACAATAAGCAGTATTTCTTAACAACAACAACATGCTTTTACATAAATATAACAACCCAATACCTGCGCTAATCGCAAGTTATTCAATAAAGTTAGGTAAATAGAATGTCTGTGAGTTTCCGCTTTAGCGCATCAATGTTGCAATTGAATAATATCAACTTCCAGGTCATGATTGCTCAGCACACTATCCAAGCTCTTGGTAGCTCTACATAGAAAACTATTTTGTCTATAGTTAGTCCACGCTAAGGGAACTGCAAAAGGGTGATAGTGTCTCATATAACGAGTAGGTACAATAAACGAAATATCACCCAATAGTCAAAGCAGTCAATATTACCATTTATAATGTTTGGAATATACCTACGCAATATCAAAGATTTTTCGGCGAATATTTAGAGATAATAGATTCAGATCCTGAGAAACAGACTGAGTTATGCATGATGAATCCAAGAGACTAAAGTAACCTTGGAGACAACATCATCAATTTGAGCATCAAAGATCAGCTTTGAGTCATGGATGACACCCAGATCTCTCATGACTGCCTTTCGTTCGAGATAGCGGTAGCAAATGTGTAGTAAATAATGCGCCCAGTTTGATTTAGGTACATATCTCGTTCGGTCCAGATATCCTGACGGTCACCGTTCTTTCAAAAATATTCTTTAGATTCTTTCTCTTTCTTCTACTCCCTCTTCGATTTAACATGTTTGCCCTTAGAGCATATAGGAGTGGAGGCGTCATCGATAGGCAATCCTCTCTGTAAAGGTACAAGTACAAAACAACTATCGCACAATAAACATTACATTCAAATCGATGTTTTTTTCATTTCCATTATCGAATTCCCCGCGTCAAGTACTCCACGAAACATGTCTTGCGCTATACAAACTTGCAAAAAAATCTGCTGCATCCAGTCTAGCCAATGGTGGAATTACATTCCATACATAAGCCTATTTTTTGTAGGTCAATGTATTTTTTACATTAATTGCAAATTTTCTATTTTATGACATTTTTTTCACAATTATCACATTGATTCAATTTATCGATTACATAAAAAATATTTGAAAACATTCGAACATTTGACATAAGCATGCCCTTGAAGGTGCCTATTTACTAACAGGCAACTATAGACAAAAAATGCAGTACTTCATGAAAACTGTCTTTTCGTTATAGAGAAGCGACGCGCACTTTTAGCTCCTATTCTTATCGACAGATTATGTAACGAAGTTTGAGGTCGAGTGTCTGGCTCCTGTCAGTATACACGTGTCGAAATTTAAATTGTTACTTTCCGAGTGAAATTGGTTGCCTTTTTTGTATACTTTGTGGTGCTGTTGTTGTGTTTGTGAAGGTAAATTTAGTTACTAACTGGTGATGGACGACGATAATCCCCCTGATGGGGGAGGCGGCTTCTCTACTGGCGGTTTCTTGAACCCGGATTCTCAAATGGATTTCGACCATTATCCCACCCAAAATGTTAATTCCAGGCCTAAAAAACGTGCCAGTGATGAAGCATCTTCCTCCCAAACTACATCGGAGCAACCTCCGAAACGTTCTTCAAACGTTCCTCCAAATGCATCTGCCCAACAAACCTACAGCTTACCCGAATTTGCTGACGGTATGAAATTAAAATATAGTGAATCTGATAAGGGCCCATTTATAGTTCACGTATCGAGAGAAGAGTCCATCCCCTCATCTGGTCTTACAATCAAATTATTGACGTTTGCCCAGTTTCTAAGTAAGAATGGTATACATGGGATTGCAAAAGACGGTATCAAAGCTACAGGGCGCAATCGGGTTGTAGTTACTTTTGTTAGTGCAATATCCGCAAACAAATTTATTGAAAATTCTCTCCTCACCACGAATTCTTACAAAGCAATTATCCCCACATTTCACTTGATAAGAAATGGTATTGTGAGAAATATTCCGATAGAGTGGACTATGGAAGAACTGGTCAAGTCAATTGATTGCACTAATGGCTCCCAAGCCATTAAGGCCAGACGTCTAAACAGGAAAGAATATATTGGTAACAAACCACATTGGATCCCCTCCCAAACAGTAATGGTCTCTTTCCTTGGCAAAGAGCTACCTGAAAGAGTCCTGTGTTATCATACATCCCTTCCGGTAGAGATCTATACTCTACCAACCATACAGTGCAACAATTGCTGCCGCTTTGGTCATGTGAAAGCCCAATGCCGTTCAAAGCCCAGGTGTTTCAGATGTAGCCAACCACATGCTGGAGATTCTTGTGATACCTCCCAACCAACGTGCTTATATTGTTGTGGCCCCCATATGGCCACGGATCCCTCTTGCCCTGAACAAGCCAGACAGAAATCTATTAAGGTTGTTATGTCTACAGAAAACATCCCATACTCGGAGGCTTCCCTTAGATTCCGGACTGTACGTAAATCTTTTGCTGACAGCGCGCGCCCTATGACAGCTCAACCTCCTGCAGCAACCCAATGTTCTCCTACAACCTCTCAACCTCATAATTTCCCCCCTCTTTCCCCAAGCTCCTCCCAAAGAAAAACTGTTTATTTTGAACGCCGACCCTGGGTTTCCCCAAAATCTGGTTTCGATAAAGCAAGCCACAATGACCTTATTATGACTCCGCAGTCCACACAACCTAATGGCTGTGCTATTAATTCAGACTTAGCAAACAATACCTCCAGAAACGAAAATCTTATTGAATTACTTATCAACACACTTATCAATATTATTTCTAAATTTGATGATTCCCTACGGAACAATGTCATTCAATCACTGAATAAATTAAACTCTTTAATACATATTAATAATGACCCCAATCCTACAATGGAACTGTAAGTCAATACGTCATAAAAAACATGAAATAATTGATTTAATAAATAACTATAAGCCCACCATTCTGGCTATCTCGAAAACATGGCTAAAGCCATCTTCGCGTTTTAGGATTCCTGGTTTCTCATGCCTCAGGGATGATAACAACAATGGATATGATGGCTGTGCTCTAATTATTAAAAGACCCACTGTTTATTCTCTATTACACCTTCCTTCTCACTCCCCGAATTTTAATGTCGTAGCAGCTAGAGCTTTAAACATAACATTTGTTTCAGTATACATCCCCCATCCTGATCAATCTATCTTCACTGAACTAGACTCCATCCTTGCTTCTCTCCCATCCCCTCTTGTTGTGCTTGGTGATTTTAATTGTCATCACACAATGTGGGGCTCTAACCATTGTTCATCTCCTGCCACCTTTCTTATTGGCATGCTTGATAATAACAATCTCTGTGTTATAAACGATTGTTCCCCTACAAGAAGAACTTCTCCCGCCCAAAATCCCAGTTGTGTTGATCTTTCCCTAATTTCTTCTGAATTAATTTCCAAATTCTCTTGGAGAGTACTTTTCAGTTCTTATGGCAGTGACCATCTTCCTATTATAATAACTTTCGCTCAGTCTGTCCAGTTGGCACCGCCTTCAACCCCCCTCCTTAAATTTAAACTGAATAAGGCTAAATGGGATGAATTCTCTTCATTAGTGGAAGTTAAAACTAGGTTACTCCCACTAATTACAAATGAGAATTTCCTTGTAATCTATGAGGACTTCATTAACATTCTGCTTTCTGCTGCTGATCTCTCTATCCCTCTTAAAAAATCTAAGAAAGACACCATCTCCTCCCCCCCATGGTGGGACTCCGACTGTACAGAAACTATTCTAGAACGCAATGGAGCTGAAGAACTTTTTTTGGATAATCCTACTATTGAAAACTTTTTGTCCTTCCAGAAGCTCAATGCTAAATCGAAAAAGCTGTTCTCAAAAAAAAAGCGCCTTGGCTGGTCTCAGTTTTGCGAGAATCTCTCTCCTCGTGTAAAATCTTCTCTAGTTTGGAAAAATTTTAAAAAGTTTTCAGGCTCTCGTGTATCCGATATTTTCTCCTGTAATGAGCCCTCAACTTGGATCGATGACTTTATTAATAGATTGGCCCCTCCTTCAGTCCCATCTATGGACTGTTTCCCTCCCTCCTTTTCCCCCAACTCTAATGATAGAATGGATCAACCATTTTCCTCCGTAGAACTTTCTTCAGTTTTGAACCACCTAAGAGACTCTACACCTGGAATCGATGGTATCCCTTACTCTTTTGTTAAGAACATCTCAAATTCTTCAAAAATTGTTCTACTTAATATTATCAATAAAGTCTTTGAAAATGGTGATATTCCACACCCCTGGAAACTTCAAGTTGTTATCCCTATTCTTAAACCAGGTAAGGATCCAAGGGATCCTGGCTCATATAGACCCATTGCGCTGTCATCAGTATTATGCAAAATATTGGAACACCTCATCAAAAATAGATTAGAGTGGATATTGGAGAGCAAAGGACTTTTATCCAGGTCGCAGTTCGGATTCCGTAAGGGTATGGGCACTCTTGACAGCCTCAGTACCTTTTCTACTGAGATCAGACTCGCACTCACCAGAGGATTGTACTTTGTTGGTGTCTTCCTGGACGTGACAGCCGCTTATGACAATGTTCATCTCCCGCTACTCAGGCAAAAAATGCATCAGCTGAGTCTACCAGTGAGGATGATTAACATCATTTATAACATGCTAATGTCTCGCTCCATCTCAGTACGTATCAATGGTTCTCTTCTCCCCCCCAGAATGATATGGAAGGGACTCCCGCAAGGTTCTGTCTTGAGCCCCATCCTTTATAGTCTATACACTGCTGACCTTGATAAATCTGTTGACTGCTTCTGTGATATTCTACAGTATGCAGACGATTTAGCACTCTATTATTCCTCAGAGTCTCTTGATGAATGCACTATCCAACTAAATACTGCCATTAGATACTTGCAAGGTTGGCTCACTAAGCACTGCCTTCTCCTATCTCCCAGTAAAAGCTCAATAGTAGTATTCACAAGAAAAAGACGTGTCCCACATATACAAATTTTCCTAAATGATGAACTGATCCCTGTACACGACAAGGTTAAGTTTCTAGGCTTCTTTTTTGATTCCCACATGACTGGAATCCCTCACCTGAATTATATTAAAAATAAATGTGAAAAGGGTATAAATATTATTAGAGCTCTGTGTGGAGTATGGTGGGGTGCTCACCCTTATACCCAAAAATTGATCTACAATGCTGTAATAAGGAGTCATTTTGATTACGCTTCATTTTTATTAGAACCCTGTAACAAATCCGCTGTTAACTATTGGGATAATATACAGGCTAGATGTCTCCGTGTTATATTAGGAGCTATGAAATCATCTCCAATCAATGCCATGCAGGTTGAGAGCTTAGATCCCCCGTTATGTTTCCGTCGTCAGTACTTATGCGACCGTTTCTTTTGCAAAATCTTACAAAATTCTGCCCACCCCTTACTTGCCCCCTTGACTCAACTAGCGAACCTTGTTACAACTTCTAAATACTGGGAACATAAGAGCCCTCCATGCCTTTTAAAAAGCTTTAACAAATCTCTCATCGGCCCCCCTATCAATCAATACTCTGGTAATCCATTGTTTTTGATTGATTTTGATGCACTAATTTTTAAACCCATCATTGTTACCAATTTAGGAATTGTCAAAGATGACCCTAACGCTGGAATACTTTTTAATAAAATCGTTAATGAGAAATGGAACGGTTGGCTCAATATCTTTACAGATGCTTCCAAATCCACCACAGATGATTTTGTTGGCTCTGCCGTCTGGATCCCCACATTTAATATCTCCTTAACTTTTAAATCTCCCTCTAAAGCGTCCGTATATTCGGGTGAGGTGATCGCTGTTTTTGAGGCAGTTTCATATGTTGAATCCCACAAATTAGACAAATCTGTAATTTTTACAGACTCTCGTAGCTGCCTGGACGATCTGTTAAAATTCCCCTTTCGTAGCAAAGATGTTCACCCAATCAATCTTAAAACAAAAGAGCTTCTTTACAATTGCTCTAACCTTGGCATACAAATTGTTCTTGTTTGGGTTCCTGGACACTCTGGCATTCCTGGGAACGAACAAGCGGATAGATGGGCTAAATGGGCGATTCATTCTGGTACCATTATATATGATAAATGTTTTTCTCAAGACTTACGCTCCCAGGCTAAGATTGATTTACACAATAACTGGAAGACTTACTGGTCGTCTTCTAGCAGACAAAAAGGCAAATATTATGCTGGTCTTCAACCAGTAATACCCAAGAAACCTTGGTTTTTCGAGTTCCGCGAGGCCAGTAAAAGAACAACTTCAACTATCATCCGATTGCGCCTAGGACATAACTGCAGACCCACTTTTCTTGCTAAGCTCAGGATAAGGGATCACTCCCTTTGCGAGTGCGGTCTTGAAGAAGGAACTCTTGACCATATATTTTTTAACTGTGCATTATATCCCGTCTCTTTATACGATCTTCTTCCGGATTGTATCCCTCGTCCCACAAATTTTTATAGTATCCTTTCTCCCCTAAAACCTCCTCTTCTATTTACTCTATTTAAATATATTGAACAAAATAACATACGGTTATAACTTTTACTATGTGCACAGCATGTGTTTACGCTTTTCATCCAAAGTAGCTAGTCAAATAACCCCGTGTTTTGTCTTTGTCCGTAGGATGGTGCAACCGATCATCGTCGTTTGAGTGAATCTTGATAAATATACCGTGTATCTTTCAACCCGGACACTGGCAAAATTGTCCTCAGTGGGACAGAAGCCAAATACCCAAAAAAAAAAAAAAACGAAGTTTATTCAAATTGATTTCTCCGTCGTATATTAAATAATAATGTAATAAATTATAAATAATGAAAATAAATTGTAATTGTGTAATATAAATCATCATAAATCATGCCATACTGTATAAAAAAATAAAAATAAAAAGTACATTTACGAGTGCATACATACAACACACATGAATTACAAAAGCAATAAAAATAACCAAATAGCTAACTGTCCTTATCCTACACACATTTGTAAGTCAATGCCTACACAAGACAATATGCGCAAAAGACAAAAATAAATCCGTTACGTCAATTTAAATTTTCGAAACACAAGCGATTGAAATATTTACATTTAGAACAAAGAAACTATAGAGTTGATTTAATGTTAATCTTACTTTTAAAATGACTTTATTAAATGTTAGTAATAAATAACTAGTAAAAGATTAATTAAATTTTTATTGAATTGATATTCAATTATTTTTTGTGAAATTACTCCACTAGTTTGTTATAATTATTTATACAAAGATCGAACACTCAGAAAAATTCCTTCGATCCGGTCGGATTTGAACCGACGTCTTCTTGCGTACCGTGTCAGACGCCATACCAACTAAGCCACGAAACAAACCAACGGACCTCACGAATTTTTCTGTGCTTGCGTCGGACTGCAGTATTCACTACAGCAATCAATACAATGATTGAACCAGGCAAGCCCAAACTGTGTCTAAGAGAGAAATGCCCATAGAATATTAATATTATATGTATTATAGTACGGCAGCAGTAGCTCCTTGTGAAAGAGTTCGTCCAGCGAAGTACTCTGCCACCATAAATATTTCTGCCACCAAGTAGTCTGTAATGTGAGCATTACTTTGGCTTTGAAGGGTAAGGGAGCAGCTGTAACTACAGTACATATGACTTGTCATCTTTGTATCAGTGTTACGAGTGCAATGGGGAGTTTGTCAGGGTTACGAGTGCAGTGGTGAATTAAAGTTTTGAGTGGCGTTGCTACTGTTATGGGTAGGCGTGTTGCTTACCAGTTAGTACGTGCCCGACTCTTTCTTCCTGTCACTTGATTATTAAAAAATATAGCTATTATTGTTGACAACTGTTTGGTGATCTAGTCGTGGAGTAATGCAACATAGCTTTCTTAGACCTGGTACAACCACGACTGTTGAGGAACAGCCACTGCTAGTCAACGAGAGATCGCTATTTCTATACGACAACGCCAAAGTGCATATTACCAAACAAACCATTTCCAGCTTACACGAACTGTAGATCTCAACTGATTTGGACCCTCTACCGACTTCTATTTATTCCGCCAAGCGCCTGAAAAACGTATTATTAGCAATTAGACAGAGAAGATAAACTGTCTTCTTAGAAGATAACTTTTGCAAAGGCGTTATATTATTTTTTTTAAATAACTTTTTATAGAAGCTTCCTAAAATAGTGAAAAAAAGTAGGTATGTTTAAGTAGAAATTGGTAGTAAATAGTTATACAAAAAAAGTAAATTTTTTACTGCTAGAACCATGAAAAACGTAAAGTGGTCAGTCAACCTGACGTCAGAATGGCTGGCCACTTTATTTCTTTAATATTTCCGTTAGCGCTAAGGTAGAAAATAATGAGCACGGTTTGATTTATATATCTCGTTTGGTCCAGCCATCCTGACGGACACTGATACTCAGTTTTTGCTTTCTAAGCTTATTTACTATAGTTTTGATCGTAACACTGTTAAATGGTTTACTCAACGGGTGGAGGTGCACGGTGAGGATGGGTCTTCACTGTTTTCTGGTGTCGCCACTGTCACTAGAGGGGTTCCTTAAGGGTCTGTCCTGAGCCCTATTTTGTTCATTGTGTACACTGTAGATAGTATTAAGGATTCCAAGTGCCATCTATATATGCTGACGACCTACAAATATATGTGTCCTTTAAACCTGTCGAAGCGCGTACCGCGATTAGTCAGCTGAACGAGGATTTCACGAGAGTTGTCCAATTTAGTATTGAATCCATGTAAATCAAAGTTTTTGATACTTTGTACAGTGCGTCAACTTGTGGAGGTTTTGTCCATGGACCCACAAATAACTTATAGACTCGAACTATATAGACCGACTTTCGGAGGCGATAAATTAAGGTGTTATCACGGACGGTTCCCTTCACTTTGAAGGACATGTGCTCGAGACTGTTCGCAAACTGTTTCTATCGATCGAAGGTGTTGCATCACGTCAGTCAACACCTTAATGTGGACTTGCGCATAAAGCTTTGCGACTCTTTAATCCTCTCCAAACTAAATTACTCACTGACACTGTTTTAGGAGGCTGTTTGCTGGCTCACACGAAAAATTTTATATCCAGCGTTTGCAAAATGCATGCATTAGGTTTTGTTTCTCCGTTCCACGTCCGGCACATATAACACCGTTTTTAAATAATGCGACTATTCTTAAAATGGTAGTCTGTCGAGAATTGCAGTCAGCTGCTTTGTTATTTCGAATAAAAAAGACTAAGCAATTATAAAATCTACATGACAAACAAAATTTTAATCCATGCATCTCGCCTTATATTCGCTTGACAGGGAACAGCGCCTTTTCGAGGTAATTTGGGGGAAAATTTTATGGGGTCTCTAGTTGATAGAACAATATAGGTACCTCCACATATCAGAAATGCTTCGTCACTTTTTGTGTTTACTAAGTTACTCAAAGAGCGTTTATTTAAAATAAAAATATCTCCAACACAGCTGATATGTCAAGGATATATTTTTGCATTTCGTTATGATTTCGTTACTTATTAATTAATTATATGAGTTGTTTGTTTAATCATAATCAAATTTTTAAATATGTAAATAAGATTTATTAAACTTGTTACTTAAAAAAGTATTATATAAGGTATGTGTACACATTTTTAAATAAAATTGTTTTGTGTTGAAATAGTGCTTATGACAACGTAATCTAGTTATCTATGCATCTGCTATGTTCCGTTCCATGTGTATTTCTGTTACCGGATCCACTGAAAAACAGTGTCGTAGCACCTACAGTGAGACGACAATGGCTGAGTGGATGACGGATACCGTAACAACACACATGCAGCCAGTTTTGGTAATTATTATTCGTTACATTAATTATTTATTTCAATCATCTTTCTTTTTACTTTTTAATTTTTTTATTTCACACATTTAATTTCATTATTTTTAAGTTTGTAATGAGGCATGTTGTACCGTCCATTTGCTTTAAATCTAATATTGTAGTCGCAAACTGTTATGTATTTTTTAGTAATGTAATGTCTGTGTACTGTGCTTTCATGCGAAATAAATGATTTATATTATATTTCTATATCAATGTAATAGGGGTTAAAGTATGAAATTGCCGATTTGTACTGAAAATCTAAATTGTTTATTTTTTAAATTTTTAACAAATTTATTTAATCAAAATAGTTGCCATTATTATCTATACATTGCTGCCATCTAATGGGAAGGTTATTAATGCCTTTGCGATAGAACTCCGACGATCTAGACTGCACAAACTGTGTGAAAGCATTTTGTACTGCCTCCTGGGAAGAAAACTTCTTGTCACGTAGATAATTGTCCAAATCACGAAAAAAATGGTAGTCCGTTGGAGCAAGGTCTGGTGAATACGGAGGATGACGAATGGTTTCTAACTGCAGTTCCTGAAGGGTCAAAATAGTTTCTCGTGCTGTGTGAGGTCTCGCGTTGTCGTGGAGCAATAATGGTGAAGATCGATTCATGAGTCGGGGCTGTTTTACTGCTAGTTTTGTCAACATGGTTCGGAGTTCGGCACAATAGACATCTGCCGTTATTGCTTGACTAGATCGGAGAAAACTATAGTGAATAACACCATGCTGAGACCACCAAACAGTTACCATTACCTTTTTATTGGTAAGTTTTGCTTTAGGACACTGTTGAGGCATTTGACTTGGGATCAGCCATTGCATTTTTCTTTTCCGGTTATCATAAAGAATCCACTTTTCATCACATGTTACAATTCGATCCAATATTCCTTCATTTCTGTACCGGTTCAACAAGGCAACACAAGTTTCAACACGCGTTTCTTTCTGCAGATCAGTCAAATCATGAGGCACCCATTTTTCGTATTTTTTTATTTTATTGATTGACGCAAGTGAGTCAATATTGTGGGTAAGGTAACGTTAAACCATGCCGCTAATTCCTGGGTAGTTTGACTAGGATCGGCTTCCACTATCTCTCTTAATTCATCGTTATTCACCTGTGTGGGCGGTCTACCTCGTGGCTCGTTCTTTAAGTCGAAATTTCCATCACGAAAGCGTTTAAACCAAAATCGCACGGTGCGTTCATTAGTAGACCCCTCTCCAAACGCAGCATTGATATTGCGGGCTGTTTCTGCCGCGTTAGTTCCGCGTCGGAACTCGTATTCAAAAATCACTCGAATTTTCGCAGTATCCATCTTTCTTGTCTAAATTGAATAACAAAAACAATTGAAAGTCGATATTCAAATGTTTCAAATTTAAAAAAAAAAAAATCACAGAAACCATTTGAAAAAAGTTTCATTCGAAAACCTCAAACCATGAAGATTCTATGAAAATTCAAAGAACCTATTGCAATAAAACGGCAATTTCATACTTTAACCCCTAATATTATATATATTCCATTAGGTTAATATAACAAAATACAAACCTATGGCTACCATCGCTCAGGCCATCCAGAACATTGAAACCTGAAGAACTGGAAGTTTTCTGGAAACGACAGAAGGTAAGGCTCTTTGCCGAATGCATTAAATTACAGTAGAGATGTAATTTATTTGCGACTCGGTCATAAATATAACCTGCGTCGAGACTCTCCGCTGTAAATAAAAAGAACCTTAGAACAATTGCTACAAAAACATTTTGACATGTGTGTTGAACTTAAGTAGCGATAATGAAGATTTATACGTTAATTTGATCTGTACATGTCTTTTTTATACACAAATTTTATTTAAATAAACATGTTATTACATTACATTACATTATTTAAACAAAATTTGTGTTTAAAAAAGACATGTACAGATCAAATTAACGTATAAATCTTTCTATAGGTAACTATGTACATTACATTGTTCGTGTGTAGCAATTTTATGCAAATTTATTTTATACTCACATTTAACAAAGACTTGTCTTTGAACATGTACTTCTTGAACTCGACCAGGAATACCTAGAAAAATATTCCAAGTGCCTTGGACGGCTCGCGTAGCTTTTGGTAAACTCACACGACACTGACCAGCTACTAGAGCTCCTTCAGAAAATGGTTGCTCTACAAAGCAATAGGAATTTGCCAAAGTAGATAATTGCACTGTAGTATTTTGGCCATCTTCTAAAGTAATGTCGGGAGTTTGGTAATTTGATACATCATCTGTA